CCTATCAAATCGGATCAGTAACCTTCGCTAATGAAGGTCATATCTGACCCCAAAATGCCATCCACTATGATGCTAGACTTGCATGATAAGAATTTGAGATTTCCATAGAATGATCTTCTATCACAATTCTTTGAGGTATTTCTTTCCCGCCCAGTTCAATAATTGAAAAAAAAAAATCAAATTGCAGTTTCATATATGACTTTTCACTAAAAGTTAATAAGATTTTGCATCTTAGACTCAACTATCAAAAAAATTCACAACATTTTCTAAATTCAAACTCGAGTCTTCATTAAAAGTTCAGACAATATGCGGTAAAGCTATGAGACAAAAATGCTGAAATTGGGGGGAGACATAATTCATCTATATTGCAACTTGGTTGAGGAGGAAGATGAGAATTTCCTCGATCATTGTGAACAAATACATCGTTACGAAAATATTAACAAAGTTGACAGAAACTATCACACGCTTAAATAGGTAACATAAATATGAATCCTATTAGAAATTATCTGGAAAAATATTACATTTCCATCATGCTAAATAGAAACTTCAAATTCATTGAGTCAAATGCTTTAATTAAAATAAAATTTCCAATTCTCTGAAAATTTGTTCTCTCTTCCTTCCTTTCACCTTGCATCCAATATTGCGAGATAAATGTGTGACTCATTGGTAAGACATTATCTTTGTGGAGAGGTCACAAATTCTATACATATAGCTTTCTACCATAATAATATTCTAAATTGGTTTTTGACCTTTTCTTTTAGCAAGATTGAGATTCTTCTCTCCCATCTCATCAAACTCTCTCCCTTTTCTCTAGCCTCCTCAATCCTCGTCAATTCTCTAGAGGGTGTTGCCGGCACCTCATGGTGACCGCCAACAACATATCATTTTCCAACTTCCTTTGCGTTGTTTCTTTCCTTTCCTATGCTTCTATCCAACCATTATTTTGGCGTTTCCAGCCTTCGATGACTTTTTCCTTTCCCCTAATTGGAATCCCTCCATAAAGCTCTCTTTTGGAGATGATTTTTTGCTAGATATAATCTGTTTTCTATCGATTTGTTATATTTTTTAGGTTTTAGAGTGAGCTCAAAGGTTCCCCTATTTGGTTTGCTTTCTTTCTTCAAGGATTATGTGTCCCTCCTTACTTTGTCCGATGGGTGTGGTGATTTGCTGGAGTCTTTGTCTTTATATGTGAGACCTGGAACTCTCCTCCTTGTAGTATAAGAGCAGGGTCACTGTGTTGTTCTTCGAAGCTTGCCTCTTGGCCAGATTTTGCTGGCCAACTGTCTTCGATCATGTTGGTGCTTTTGCGTCTTCGATGCAAATGCGTTAGTGGTGGGTGTGTGTGTCATTTTCAGTCGAGTGTTCTTTTTATCTAATGAATGCTTGAGATTCTAATGATTAGTATATATGTAAATTTCTGGCTCATCAAGTATGGTCTCCACATCTATACTATCATGATAATCGCTTGCATCTCTTTCTGGTAAGTCGATCAGACTTCTTGGCCAGTGCCAAAGTTTAGCTCATGAAAGCAATGAGATGCTTGTCTTGTGACAAGACAATGCCAATGCCCTCCTAGACGCGTCACCTTCAATCACATATAACTGGGGAAAGTCCGGGCCATGCATGCATTTATATTCTACGAACATATTAATTAATCTACACAATATATTATGCACTTCACTCTATGTCATTGTTGCCACCTTGCACTTTGATTGGCTCTCCTTATTTGATGGAAGGGCAACTTTGACAATTTTTCAAACACTCAATGGTCACTCATTATTATTGCACTTTTGGTTTTCTTTTTAGTGAATGCGATTGGGATTAAGGGAAAAGAAGATATGTTTTAAGGTAAATGCTACATAATAATTATTTGAATTTTGCTCTGTGTAGATTTATTTTATGTGGTTAAGGAAAAAACAGAGGCTATCTAAGTTGTTTAACTCCTAAATGAGATAATGCTTGCGAATTGGATTTTGAGATGATAAAGATGATATATCGTTGTGACGTGGATGTTTGGGAAGAGGTTACTTATGAATAGGTTTTTGCACATTAGGGTTTTATGTTAAACAGATAAACCAAGCATCAACCATCAAAAGTTTTAGAATCTTAATTTCACAGTGATTTCGACAAACATGAAGAGGAAGAAAAATCGGAAATCTTGGCAAAATACAATCAATTTATATTTTTTTTAACAATTTTAATTTTCAAATTAGCATGTCTAATGTTTACATTAAATTTTGAAAGGTAAGATCGCATGTTTAGTCGTCGGTTAAACAATAATTCCATCCATATCGTATCGACTCGATATTTGTGTCCAATTAGATCAAACAAAAAAATCATTTTTTTTACTTTATGTAATTGCTTAAAGTCGAGATAGGTTTTATTAGAAAATTATTAAACGTAAAATATGGTCCAATGGAATAACTTAAATGCTTCTTCAACCTAACTACATTGTTATTTACATCTGAGTAGTTCCATTAACAATTACAAAATATTTGTATAATGATAAACCATTAATCATGAGTCATTGAAATTTTCCATCCGACAACCGCTCCGCTTTTGAAAATATAGCATATAGTCAATAAAATATTTAAAAATATGAGCATATTGTTAAAGGTCAAGTTTGAATTATGATAACTAAAGTTCAAATGATTGAATAACTTACAAAGGCCATTTCAAGTCAAAATATTATTTTGCTAATATTTTTCAATTTTGTCTCTTTCAAAAATATAAATTTAATACATCTATACTAATATTTTTGGATTTGCTTTACATAATTGTCCAAATAATCCATTTCCATATCACATTTTTTTCTCCTCGAATTTTTGTATCTTTAAAATATTAATATTATGTACATTATTTCCTTTTTAATTCAATAGATGACAATCAACAATATTTAAATTAAAATAGTAATAAAATTTTCAAAGCTTCATTTGCAAGCTAATTATTCACATATAACGAAGATAAATATTTTTGTTGAATTTTTTTTGATTAAGTGGTGTTTAATATCTCAAGGCATGAAAAAGATTCTAGATAGCTTTTCATTTCATTCGTTGTCTAACTTAAACTTCTTATGGTTAAGTACAAAATGAAACACAAATTCAATAAAATTATAAATTTAACGGGCATTAAAAAACATAAACTATCAAAGTACTCTTTTGTACCACCAGTGCACAATACTAAAAACCGAACCACCTACGTTTAACTAAAAATATACCCAAATGACCACAAACCGGCCAACGGGCCGGATACAACACTAGTATACATATATGGGGAGAGAGAATCCTGGCCATGCATAATTTTTTCCCAATTAAATTTTGATGGACTATATCTCTTTTGTTTTAAGTCGAATTTTAATTTTTCGGAGAAAAATCAAATTAATTGTACTCTTCAAAATGATAAACACTTTGATATATTTTAAAAAAAGAGGCTATATATAGTCTATAAAGTTTTTTTTCCTATAAATTTGTATAACACGATGAACTCATTCCTTTTGGACAAAATTTTCAAGAGTTTCATTGTGGTAATAAGTGATAGTGAGTGACTGAGTGATACGAAAAACCTTTAAATAATATATAAATGAATATTATTTTGTAGATCACAATGAACTCATCTCATTTATGAAAGAAAATAATCCAAGTTAAAACAAAATATATAAGTCAATAAAAAAAAATAAGAGAAAAAAAGGTTTTTACTCTCATCCTTTATATATAATCCCACTCAAAATTCAAGAAACCAAAAAAAATTATGCACAAATGACCTAGTGAAGATTATTCCTACCCTAAACCCATATATTATAGAACGACATCGGAGAAATCAATCTGCATCATCCATTATTGATCCCACCCGTCCAATCATATATCCACTTATCATAGTAATCCACACAAGTCAAAACTTTCTTGAAATACTCGCATAACCCCACAAATTAAACCCACTCGGAGTTTAAAATGGTACCAAAAGATACCGGGAACGGATCAGGTCAGTAACCTTATAGTGAGTAACAATGAGTAACCTGTCCACATCAGCATGACATCAGCATTCTCTCTTCTCTCTCTCCTGGAAAGCCTTTAATTTTCCCCTTCTTAATCTTTGACGAACGATTTCTCACTCGTTTTAAGTCGATTTTTTTTTTGCACAGTTAGATCAGATTAGTTGTGCTTTTCAAATGATATTCATTTTGATATATTTTTCGAACAAAAAAAATTGAGTCATTTTTTACCAGTCTACACCATATGGTATTGAAATAAGAGCATACCTATGGTTTGAAATCGTACCATGGTGGTATGAACAAACCAAGATTGTAGGATGGTTGAATACATGATAGTAGAAGTATATTAACTGTCATTTACGACTTTTAACATTGTGTACCACAAGATACCACCTCGTACCAGGGTGGTATTGTATGGTATTGTGTGGTATTTTTTTTGTCATGTAATTTGTTCACCCTGAAATTTGTAGATCCAATAGATCATGATGAACTCGTCCCTTCTGTGCAAACGTTTTCAAAAAACGAATTAAAAACGAAGAAAATACCATATGGTATGCAGTTGGTACCGAGAGGCCAGGATTTTTTTTCTCAAAAAATATTGAAAATTGATCTCATTTTGTAGAGCACGATGAACTCGTTCCATCTGTGCAAAAAAAAATTAAAATCCGAGTTAAAACGAAAAAGATATGAGCCAATTAAGAAAGCTAGAGAAAATAAAAAAGGTTTTTAATTCTATTTGAATTTTCTAAATGAAGGGTTCAGATTTGATTATTGATAGTGCATAACTCTGTTTTGAGCCAAAATACCGGGTAAAACAACCGGCAACGCAATCGAGGCGGGTTGAAAAGCGGTAGCGCATGTCCCAATGGAATCCAATACCTTCTATTTTGTTGGTGAGATTAATATTTACGTTGGTGGGCCCGTGCAGCCCATAATCTAGATTAGCAGCCCTGAAATCCAATCAACACTTGACACGGATACGGCCAAATAATTAACCATTCAATTAGAAATCCGCTGACGATCGATACAGGAAGTAAGCTATTAAAAAAAATCCAGAAAGAAAGAAAAAGAAAAATTATAAATCCGCTGAGTTTCGCTTCGTCATCCTGCTTCCACACGCTAGCTCGCAAGAGGCTGCCTACATAAGCAGACTGATTTCCAATTCCTCTCTATTCAATCCCTCGGAATCTACAGAATCTGCCAGCTTCTTCCCCCCCACCCTTCCTTCCTTTTCCTCTCTTTCTTTCCCAATTCGGAAGGAAGAGCTCGAGATCCCCGAGAAGAATTCTTCAACCACCCCCCGCCGCCGGGGACGCGGGCCACCGGCCGGCTCTTCCTTCTCCGCCTGCCCAATTCTTCCATCATCTTACCACATATATCATTTCTCTGCCCTTGTCGTTTTAATCAGTTTCATCGATACCAAGGGTCGTGATTTCTGCAAGTGAAGAGGTGAAATCCAGGGGATATAATTGGGCTTGTATTCCGGAGCTTGGGGGGATTAGAAAGGGGCTACTGGGATTGAGTTTCTGATGGGTTTTCTGGTGGATTCGCAAAACGATGGCGGACCCGGGTTCTGGGGAGGTTGCGTGAGGACTCTGATAAGGAGGAAGCAGGTTGATTCCGCTGACGGCAATGTTCACGGCCACGGTGGTCACCACCAGTTGGCCAAGGAGCTCTCCGTTCTTCATCTCATTGCCATTGGTATGCCTGAATTCCGGATCCCAAACCTTTTATTTCGTTTCCTTTCGAGTACAATTCAATCGAGCGGTTTTCTCCTTCTTCGTTGCTCTGTTTTTTTTTGTCCTTCATAGTTGTTGAGTCATTGATTCATGTTAATTCTCAACTGGGAGTGAGTCTGCTTTGGATAAGGTTCGTGGGTTAGCAGCTCAACTTGGTTCATTATCCTTTTCTATTTGTTTTATCTGTAGAATTAATCGCAACTTACAGTGAATTGTGATGATGACCCTACAGTCCTTACTCTCTGTGAACTGCTTTGGCTTCTCTCTTCTTCTTTTACTGCTTTACTATGGTGGATCTTTCTTTTTCTTGTTTGATAGTGTTTTATGTGGTGTCACGCTTCTGACTAATGGTGGTTGCGCTTTGGATCAGGCGTTGGCTCGACGATTGGAGCTGGAGTTTATATTCTCGTAGGGACTGTTGCTAGGGAGCACTCTGGGCCAGCACTTGCCCTATCTTTTCTGTTCGCTGGATTTGCTGCCGCTTTGTCAGCCTTCTGCTATGCAGAACTTGCGAGTCGCTGCCCATCTGCTGGCAGTGCCTATCACTACTCGTACATTTGTGTTGGAGAAGGGTAAGTAAAATCAGCTTCTGATGTCTTGAAAGTTGTTTGCTTTTAGATGGTTGCCCCTTTCACTTCACTTCTCGATCGGAGTTGTTGATTGTTTTTATCTCATCATTTTTCGTTGAATTAATATTCAAAAAAATGGTTGATAAGGCTTCAGAGTTCATTCGTAGTATCATGTTAATTTGGTGTGTCCTAAAGCATTCTTAAACAAATTATTGGGGGGGGTTTTGGTGTTGATTCGGATGGTTCCTTAACAAATTCAACGCAGGTTATGTTCTTAGTAATTGCAGTTTCAGTTTGCATGTCACTTTTCTGCTTTCGTGAAGATTTAGTGATCTTACCAAAAACCTCTTTGATGTGCAGAGTTGCTTGGTTGGTTGGCTGGGCTCTGATTCTGGAATATACAATTGGCGGGTCAGCAGTTGCTCGTGGCATTTCCCCCAATCTGGTTATTCAACTTAACTTGCTCAAGCTATTTTTGTTTTTCCCTTGGTATATTGTTTTCCTTCTTGCTGGACTGTTAATCGGATGCAATGTGACACCGTTGTATAGATGGACATCGGTATATTCAGTACCTGAATTCTTGAAACTACTTTTGTTATTGTGATCCTCATTTTTCTGTGAATTCTCAGAAGTCATAACTAGTCCCATTAGGAATGAGAAGCAAATTTTTGGGTTTGGTTGAGAGTCTTTAGACAGCAACATGTGGGTTGTCAGGTTCAATTGTATTGGTTTTCTGTCAAGTGGCATTCACAATGTTTCCAGGATCTCTTTGCACATGTTGGTCCAATTCTTTTTATTTGTTTAAACTGATAGGTCTATTATTTCTTGTGGGCAGGCATTGCTTTTTGGAGGCGAAGGCAGTCTTCCATTTTTCCTGGCACGTCAAGCGATCCCGGGGCTTGGTATTGTGGTGGATCCATGTGCTGCAATTCTTGTGTTTGTTGTCACTGGGCTCTTGTGTGTGGGAATCAAGGAGGTGCCTTCTTTTTTTCCTGTCTCTTTTTTCAATTTTGTTTTCCTGCTTCTGTTCTTTATTCGTAACTAAAAAGTTCCTGGCTTCTTACAGAGTACTATGGTACAAAGCATAGTGACAATAGTGAACGTTTGTGCCATGATCTTCGTCATAATAGCTGGAACTTATTTGGGCTTCAAGACTGGTTGGCCCGGATATGAGCTTCCTACTGGGTGAGTAAATCTTTTGATGTTCTATTCTAGGTAAAAAAAATGTTGGTTTATTATAATTTTCCACTAACAACATATATGCAAATGAGCAGGTACTTCCCCTTTGGTGTAGATGGCATGCTTGCCGGTTCTGCCACTGTCTTCTTTGCTTACATCGGTTTTGATTCAGTTGCCAGCACAGCTGAAGAGGTTGGCACCTCTCTCCTTTCTACTCTGAAACTACTCCCCCCTCCCCCTTTCTTCTTGAGGTTTCCCATGTGTTTGGCCACATATGAACTTTGTGTTATTTGAACATTTATGAACAGGTGAAGAATCCTCAACGTGATTTGCCGATGGGAATAGGGTTTGCATTGTCCATCTGTTGTTCCCTCTATATGCTGGTGTCAATTGTTGTCGTTGGTTTGGTGCCCTACTATGCAATGGATCCCGATACTCCAATCTCATCTGCATTTGCTGCTCATGGGATGCAATGGGCAGCGTAAGTCAAATACATAGTAGCCAAGTTTTTTAAAATGACTTTAGAGGTATTTGAAGTTTGTTTCTTACGACTGTTACTTCTGATTTACAGTTACATCATAACAGCTGGAGCTGTCATGGCACTGTGCTCCACACTGATGGGGTCAATTCTACCTCAGGTAAATCAAGTGGAATGAATCTCTTAGGTGCGTTCATTTTCTCCAGTTTTACTGCACTGACAGACTGTGATTATTCCCCATTATTTATCTTATTGTAGCCTCGCATCTTAATGGCTATGGCTAGAGATGGATTGCTGCCATCATTTTTCTCAGATGTCAATAAAAAAAGTCAAGTTCCTGTGAAGAGCACTGTGGTGACTGGACTCTGTGCCGCCACCCTGGCATTCTGTATGGATGTTGATCAATTGGCAGGCATGGTATGTTTCAGTGTTCCAACCAATTACGCTCATTACAATTAAAGATTTTGATTTGTGAAACAGTGGGATCTCTTTATGATAATGATTGGTTGCGTTACCTGCAGGTCAGTGTGGGGACACTTCTTGCATTCACTATGGTTGCAATTTCTGTCCTAATACTCAGATATGTACCGCCGGATGAGGTGCCTGTTCCATCCTCACTTCAGGACACAATAGATAGTGTGTCATTGCATTACAACAGAATTAGTGAGGGTTCTAGTAAGAAAAAGTCAAAGGCTCATGCTGGCACTTCCAAGGATTCTAAACAGCCTTTGCTTGTTGGAAAGAATGCATCGGCAGACTATCCTGACCTTGTCAAAGAGGACCCTTCAGTTAAATGTAAGTTGGTCGTTCTTTTGCTTGAAGCAGTTTATTTTTTAACTGCTGATTTATGTCTATCCAAGTGTTTGATATTGGCAGGAGTTTGTGTAGCTATAACTACATTATGGCCCCCAATGTTTGGTGCCCCTAAATTTATTCTAAATGTAGAGACTGACGAAGTTGTACGCATAAGACTGTAGACTTAATTTTATTTTTCCTGTGTTATGTTTTGTTGATTGGTTCAGATGTGTTGAATGAAGAGAAAAGGCGGAAAATTGCTGGCTGGACCATAGCATTCACATGCATTGGGGCATTCACACTTACATATGCAGCTTCGAGTTTGGCTATCCAGTGGTGGGTTGTGCTCCCTTGGTCCAGCATGCATACTCATAACTCGTTATATCACCAAAGCTTATAGTTGCCCATGAAATTTGGAGAAATTAGCTGAGATTATGTGTTTGAATTTTCTATCATCAGGCTCGTTCGGTATTGCTTGTGTGGATTCGGTGGAGCTCTTCTCCTGACTGGCTTGGTTGTGCTGACATGTATAGAGCAAGATGAAGCAAGGCACAACTTTGGACATTCTGGAGGTATGTCATCAATCAGCCTATTTATATTTCATGATCGTTACTTGCAGAAGTAGGACTCATGATGCAGCAAATAAGCATATAGGTCGACTTGAGGAAGAATTTCTATCACTTGCATATCTGCCTTCCTTCAGGTTGCCATAATTGGCTGCTTTTGGAAATGCAAATCATGAATGATGCATTAGCTAACAATTTATAATGTTTGGGGATGTCGCTTTTCCTTCTTCAGGTTTCACATGCCCGTTTGTTCCTCTCCTCCCTATCTTCTGCATTCTGATCAATATCTACCTGCTCGTCAATCTTGGGTGAGTATTCCAATATTATGCTCGTCAATATTGGTTTTGATTATGGACTATTATGCTTTTCTGTCACTCCAATCTGAATATATATTTTGCATGTTTCTGAAAATCTTGCAGTGGTGCCACGTGGGCTCGTGTATCTGTATGGCTGGCGATTGGTGTCGTTGTGTATTTGTTCTATGGCAGAAAACACAGCTCGTTAATGGATGCAGTATATGTGCCAGTGGCTCATGCTGGAGAGATATACGGAAGAAGAAGCTCTGGAGATACTTTGGCTTGATGATGATGGCTTGCGGCTTGCTAAGTTCTCAGAGATGGGAATACGGACATGGTGTTCTCAGTTGGAGATGGAACTCTTTCTAGACAACAGAACCTCTTTGTTGTATGAAAAATTCAGTCTTGTAAGCTTTAGAATCAATTGGCATATCTTGTATCCTCTCTCCACTCCACATATATATAGCAGCAGCAGTAGCAGAAATTGAAATCAGTTTCTCTTTGTAATATATTCATTGCTGTATTACGAACTTTCATCCATTCCGGCGAACTTGTGTGATGTGGCAATATAGATTGTACATATGTTGTGCCAAGTTGAAACACATTGTTCTTCTACCTCCCTGAGGGAAATTCATTATAATCACTGTCTTACTGTCATTGGAAGTTATCAAAATAGTCTCCATCCCAAATTTCTGCAAGTTCCGTGCTAAAAGTAAGTCTTTTGGTTCGTTTGGATGAGATTTTCTTTGGACGTTGGTTGGTTGGTCGTTTCGTGAATACGAAATACGGTCCATACCAAATCCTTGTATAAAATAGCTGGTTTCTTAAGTGAGAGTTCCCAAAATCAAATCCTCGTCCAAACAACCGCTTGATTATTGGTTTCATTCCATGGTGGAATGACTAAAATGCCATTCTGAAGTTGTTGCTTCTTACCATTTGCAAGGTGCAGTACCATGCAGCCGAGCTAGTAGCGCATCTGATAATCTGCACTATAACTTACCTTGCCTACCAATTCAAGTCATCTGATGTTTTTTCTCCAGCAGTATTGTCTTCTCCCACCACCAAGAAACTTAAGCTAGTCGTCATTCTAGCATCAGAAGACCATAAGCTTGTCGTCATTCTGCATCTGGTTAGGCATTTATCATCACCGATACAAGCTGCTGAACAAAGCCCGGGTTGCTCACTGTACAAAACCATCACAACAGGTCAACTGAAAGATGGCAAAGAAGAACCAAGCCCGTTTCCTTGCATTCTCTTGATCACCTTCTTTTCAGTGCCTCTGTCGAGGCTCAGCGCGCAGCAATGCTGGCCAAGTGAGTTCATCAAAGGGAAACACCACCCCGGGGCAGTACAACCAAGCCGAGGAATCCAACTGCTGCAAGAAAGGTGAGCAATACACCACCTTGAAATGCTCCACCACCAGTCACTACCCAAACGACGGCGACTCTAATATGGAACAGCTTCGCGAGAAAGGTGGGAGTGGAGTCCATCTGAGTGCAACAACCAGTAACATTCCAACAATGAACCTGTTGTGGCTCTCTTGACTGGATGGTTCGATGACGAAGGAAGGTGATTATCTCATGGTATGATGCTTGAATACAGTAAGGGCCTTCATGTGGATTCTAATTAATTGTTTGGATTCATTAATCTAAACTGTTGTGGACTCGCGGACATATATACAGATATCAGGTGATATGTAATGGAAAATCCAAGCAATTCTCTGCTTTAAGCTTTGTTTTGTTTCAAGTTGAGTTCAATCTTCAGGAGTCGTGGGGTAAAAGCAAGACAATTTACATGGTATAACTACATTGTTGTCTCCTTAGTTTAAGGTGTGTCATCAAGGTTACTCCTTGTTCAAGGAACCAAAAAAAGCTAAAGTAAAGCACAAAATTTGAAGGCACCAGATTACATAGAGTTGAGCATAAGTATTAGCTTAGGAAGATTCTCCAGAGCTATTGTGAAAACTGCCCCCAGCATGAAGATTAAAATGAAGGCAACCAGTATCTTCATCATGTACCCTGCAGTAATTGCCGCAGGCTTTGTAGCTATCGTTCTTCCTGGACGCGAGCCATCAGAGTTCTCCTGAAAGAAGGCAGACAAAACATCGACACAAACTTAGTGTTACAGTGTAATGAACTCTATGAGCTATAAGCCATGTCCAATTAGCTAAGAAGCACAGAGCTAACGATGAACATGATAGAAGAGGGGACGGTTCACCAGCTTTTACTAGACAGCATTTTCAACGGTGTCAAACAATATTACAGCCAGCCTGCACAGCTCAAGGACCAGAGCATATAAATGACTTATCTGTCGAGAATGTCACCGCTATGCAATTTCCACTGTGGGATCCTATAGTCGGTTTTTGGGTTTCAGATTCAGAAAAATTGGAAGACAGCCATAAGAACAGTGTTGATAAAACAAATTGAATCAACTTCTCAATCCAGCATGCTGCCCTGTATTTCAGAATCTATGCTTTCAACTCTAGCCAGTAGAAGTTTGTCAACTGCAAAGCATATCCTATATGTTCTCCTGCAATAAGTTCCCTCATCCATTTTTTCCATTAACAAATTCACCACACAGGGAGGATCCTATTTCCACAATTATGGTATGAAGTTCCGATTCTTTTTTCCTCAACATTACAAAGTGTAGAATGCAAGCGAAGAAGAAATTCGTACCGGTGCCGCAGCTGGAACCCTTGGAGGCGGGGTTGGTGTAGCTATCAGTGGAACTTTTTCCCCTAGCATCACACCTGCTCCCATTGAATCGAACCAAATCCAAACTTTAGACAAGAGAATACATAATTACATACCACTGAGAATTTCCCACAAACAAAGGGAAGATTTTGGGGGAAGTTTTTTCTTTTACCAGGAGGAGGATAATCTAGGTCAGTGACCGCCTGCAACTTCCAGCCATTGCCATAGTCAACGAGAGCAACATCTGGGCCGAAGCTGACGGGCTCCTCGCCCTCTTTGATGGCTTCGATGGCAAAAGCCAGAGGTTGCCCATTATTCAACTTCCTGTTTATCAGAGAGACTGCGAACCCCGCCTTCGTACCGGCTGCAAAGCGTCTCCTTTTCTTCGAAGGTTTGCACTCTACTTCCAGAAACTATCGCGACAAAATGTCCAAAATTGTCAGAGCAGAATTGTTGGGCGGGTTGCTTCGAACCAATTCCCAGTCTTGAGAATTCCAGGGAAAAACATCAGGACATTGGATATTTGGGGGAAGAGAGAGAGAGGTGCTTACAGGAGGAGAAAGCTGGGGAGGAGGTTCGGGATCGGAAGCTTCAGCCGCCATGGAAATTTGATGTGGAACCAGGAGGCGGAGGGAAGTCAAAGTCTCATCTCATCTCTCAATCAATGCTTCAATTTGTCAGCGCACTTTTATTTCCTCTCGTGGTACACATATGGGCCAATGTAAAGAGTTCGCGAGAAACATTGGGCCTGGAATTTCAGCCCAATTCTTGTTCACAAATATTAGCTTTGGCACGTAAAACAATAAACAGCCAAAAACCAGAAGTCCGATTGACAAGGCTTAAGGAATCAAGAGCCGACTGTTAGGCATAATGTGTGCAGCAGTTCGAACCAACCAAATCATTGAAAGTCAAGGTCCGGTAAAAAGAACTTAGGTTTAAGGACATATTCATCATTGCATTTGGTAGCATTTGATCCGGTTTAAATGCAATTTTGGTCAAGTTCTTTTTAGTATTTATAAAATATAAGTGACTAAGAATCAAATATTGATTTGATTTTATAGGTACAGACCAATCCATTTCATCGATATACTTGTTTTTGCCGAATAAAAATGTCATATGTAACCCATTTGTGAGACTTTGAAATCCCTCATTGTCAACCTTTGTTTTTCTTATGAGTACTGTCATCCTTTGTTACGACCATATCATTCACATAAATTAAAAAAGCCATCATACCTCAACTGGAGCAAATTGTAGGAAAAAATCCCAAAATACATATGTTTTTAAAAAAAATTCCCAAAATACCCACGTTATAAAAAAAATTCCCAAAATACACATGTTTGGGCATCACCGCTGTTGTCAACCGCAGTGAATGCATTCACCGCGGCAGACCAAAGCGGTGAATGCATCACCGCGGTTGACGGCCGCGGTGAATGCCTGACGTAACACTGAAACTTCAAACAAACGCAACTTTGCGCTCGGTTATCCGATTGTAGCGAATTTTTTTTTGATTCCATATAACTTTTCAAGATCTTTCAATCTGAAACAAGACTTCATCCCCAAAAAAAATCATTTGCTACCCCGAACGAGCAATTTTTCGATTTTAACAAACTTTGGAAGATCATAACTTTGTGCTCCACAATCCGAATGTCATGAAACTTTTTTTGATTTGCATAACTTTTGAAGTACTACAACTTTTATTATAACCATAATTTTGGAAAGTATGTGGATTGTTGAAAAGTAAAGGCAAAGTAATTCCCAAAATCCCGTACACCCAAAAATACTTCTTTTTTAAAAAATTATTTCCTAGTCCAAGTTGTAGTTCTTAAAAAGTTATTCACAATAAAAAAAACTTTACGACGTTCGGATTGAGGAGCTAAAAGTTATGTCCTTCCAAAGTTTGGAAAAATCGAAAAATAGCTCGTTCGGGGTAACAAACGACATTTTTTTGAGATTAAGTCTTGTTGCAGATTGAAAGATCTTGAAAAGTTATATGGAATCAAAAAAAATTTCACTACAATCGGATAACCGAGCGCAAAGTTACGTTTGTTTGAAGTTTCAGAGTTAAGTCGGGCCTTCACCGCGGCCGTCAACCGCGGTGATGCATTCACCGCTTTGGTCTGCCGCGGTGAATGCATTCACTGCGGTTGACAACAGCGGTGATGCCCAAACATGCGTATTTTGGGAATTTTTTTTTATAACGTGTGTATTTTGGGAATTTTTTTAAAAAACATGTATATTTTTGGAATTCATCCCAAATTGTAACAGTGATTGATCGTTCAAATCTTTGAACGTTGTACAAAAAAGTTACCAAAAGTTTAATTTTTAGTGACACGGTAATAAAACTTTGAGCTTGTATTAAATGATCACTCATTTTAATTTGTTATCGTTTTGTTGTAAATACAACAAAACAAACTTTTATTACCATATAGATACAAATTTAAAGTTAGTGTGACCAGCTAATTACCCACCAAACCACAGATCAAAATCATATAGTTACAAGTTTAAAGTTTGTGTGACCAGCTAATTACCCACCAAACCACAGATCAAAGAGCTTCTTTCGCTAAGGATGAGCTCCCGTTTAATCTATGAACGGTTGGCTTTAGTTGAAGTAAATTTCATGTTTGGATGGGACTGCAAATTTGACTAGTAGTTTACCACTCCAGAAACAAGAATGCTTTTCAAATGCTAAGATTAATTCGAGTGTTAACCCCAACAAGTAACCAGGTTTCTCCAGGCAAGAACATAGAGCCCAATCTCTTGCATATCTAGCTAACTATTCTGAAGTTAGATACTGAATGGGATTGACTGGCTAAGAATAAAAAACTTCTCTGCAAATTGGATGCAAAGCCTAGAGGTGAAAGAACATGGTTTCTTTCTGATAGACCACGCGAGAAAAGAAAAGAAACAGCTTCGATCAATTGCCTCTGGAAACCGAAACTGGAAGAGTCCAAGTCAGTTTCCGTAACCGAGCCAATGGAGCACCAGAGAGCCAAAACAATCCTTCGCATCAACAAAGAGATGCAGAAACAAACCAAGTTAAAGCGACATCATCGTCATTGAGATGCACTGAGAACTCGCATCCTAAAATTATCAGAGAAGGACCAGACAGAGAATACTTAAACATAAGAAGAATGTGAAATAGATGCTGAACAAAAAATCATAACAAAAGCATGCAAGTGGCATATAAACAGCATGCTTAAGCAGACCATTATATACCCATAAACAAGGCCACAAATTCAGAAACGATGTGTTCACGTTGTCCAACTACACTCAACAAATTAACTACAGCTATTGCTACTCAACAACAGAGACTCTGCTGGCAATCTAGCTATAAGCTTGGTCTATGCACGTATTCACAGTCATAATCGTTTCACTCAACATAGCTCATCAATGAAAAGGGCATAAATAAAGAGAGAAAATATATGGTTCCGATTTTAGAGAAGAAGCTACATCAGTAAACAAATGCCATGAAGTTAGACAGAATAACTGAAAAATGCTCCAACTCTATTGAAAAGGGCACAAAAGAAAATGGTGCAAGGAATCAAAAACAGATCATTTCACAAACCATCTTTTCGCCTTTTGCGGGATACAAACACAATTTCCCCCTCCTTTCTCCAGCCTTTCCCTCTGCCACCAAAAAAAAGAGGAATACAGCTGCCTTACTATTTTGTCTCCCAATCTTTCAGTTTCTTACTCCCTTTCGGTTTAGCTATGGGAGCATTCATTCCAGCCATCTTGGCATTGTACTTTGCACGAAGTGGATCGTTGTATGTCCATCTGCATAAACACCAGAAATGATCAATAATTATTTTCATGATCCAACCACAACCCAGAATCTAATCAGCAGCAGCAAAGACCATAAAGAGTGGCATTTTCATCAGTTGACTATTATATCAGAACATTAATTGGAAAAGGGGAAAAAACGTGAAAGCTGGAGGAAGACAGATCAGAGGCTTACGGATTATCCCAATCAGTAGTATCCTCATTAACAAGATGAGTCCATTTTGTCCTTCCACTGCGACCAAAGTGCTTCACCTGCATAACCTTCGGCAATATACTCTTGTCCATCTTATCTTCACCAGTTGGTGCAGAGAAATCGCGCTTAAAGACATTCTTATCGGACCCAGCACTTGCAGCAGCAGCACGTTCATCGCCTTCATCCTGAAAGAAAGCACCTTTGTGAAAATACTTCTGCATAAACCTCCACTTCTGCTTAGGTGGCGGAGCAGGTTTAGGGTTCTTCCTCTCCCATTCCCTCCTCTCTTCTTCAGTCATATTCCTCACTCTCTCAATCTCTTCCTTCTCCTTCAACATCGCCTCTCTATCTTCCCTATCCCTTTTGATCCTCCCAATTTCCCTCACTTTCCACGTTTCATACTCTTCTGCTTCATTCATCTCATCATCGGTATCCACATCAGCAATCTCCGCCTCCATCTCCAAATTCTTCTGAATTTGTTCGTCCTTCTTAATCTCTTCAACCAACATATGCTTAGTCTCCACCTTCCTCTCTTCCATTTTCCTCTTCACTTTCTCCTCAAAAGCCCTTTCTTCTTCGGCAAGCCGCTCCCTTTCGGCTATGGTATCTCTCTCTGATTTAGGCACAAACACAGGTTTCACCATTGCCATACCTGTCGTTTCTTCCTCGGAGTCGGTCTCATACTCGGAAGACTCGTCTTCTTCTGCTTCTTCTTCATCTTCTTCCTCTTCTACAGGAAGCAGTGCAGCTTCCTCTCGCTCCCTCATTCGAGCCTTCTCCCTGATTCTTCTCCTTCTCTCTTCCAATGCCTCCTCATCTTCTTCCTCGGCGTCTAATCCTTCCAGCCTCTCCTCCTCCTCCGTGGATATAATCTCAGCCTGTCGGATTCTGCGGTGGTCGGCTCTTGCCTCGTCCCGGTTGTCAATCCTGCTCACGGCCAGACGTCGGAGCCTGGGATCGTCTCTCAGGGCGGGATCGGAAGCACCGTCGTGGCTTGGGAAGGCCTTTTCCAGGATGTCCATTTTGGACATCCTGATATCGCCATCTTCATCTGCTTCGTCTGCCCACTCGGGAGCTTTACCTGGCCAGTACCTCTTCACTTTGGTCGGATTGATTTTGCCTTTGAGTTTGTCTCGGGTGGCCAGTGCCGCATCGCTGACACCCGCCGTGACCGACATGGTTGCAGAATCTCCTAGCTAAGTTCCGACCTCTGGACAGATGAATAGAGCTTCCTGTTAAGCCTCCCTCGGCATTCAGGGAGAAACTAGGGTTTCCTATGTCTCAGCGGAAACGAAAAAGGAATCGATTATGGAGCGGCGAGCTGGAGAGAGAGAGTCAGAGAGCGTAAAGGAACTTACGGGAAGAGTTTCTCCAGCGAGATAGATTTGATTATGATGATGGCAATCGACAAGGACGGCCAGGTGCCGGAGAATGGCGGTGGGGGAGATACGGGATTGAGCTAGGTTTTTGGAGCAGTAACTAATTTGGGCGGTGAATTCCTTCGACGCTGATCGAACAAGAAGGACTAAAATAAGGTTGAAACCGGTTTATACTTTATACACTCATACCGGTTTTCAAGACGGCATGGTTTGGTGGGTTGGTACAACCGGTTAATGTTAATAACAACTATAAGTGTCAAAACATAGCCCGACCCGATCAATCCGCCCGATCAACCTCACCCGCAATCCGAATTGACTAAAAGTCAACAATCCGTAACCCGCCCGACCCGCAATCCGATTGACCCGCAACCCAACTAACCCGCAACCCGACTGACCCGCAACCCGACTGACCCGCAACCCGATTAACTCGAACCCGATTGACCCGAACCTGACTAACCCGTAACCCGACCGACTCAACCTGAATTTCATCTAATCCACTTGAATAATTATAAAAATATACAATACATAGTTTTTCAAAATAAAGTTTTTCATTCTAAACTTAAGTAAAATTATTTTTTCATTTCGTATAGGAAATTTAAAAAATATGAAACTCACTTGATTTTACTTTTTTTAAGAAAATTATAAAAATTGAAACATAAAGGTCACTTGAGATCATGACAATATTAATATAATAAATAAATTAAAATTTTGGTTAATTTAACTATTCAATAAAATTATCAATTAAATATAAATAAAGTAAAGTAATGTATTTGGTAATTTGATGTTTTTAAACGAAGAGTGAAATTTTGGTGAATTCAAGTTTTTGGGAAGAGAAAGAAAAGAGAAATTTGCTTCTTTGAATTTTATAGAAAAACAACAAATGAGAATTTTTGTGGTTTTGATATGTGGGAAGAGAAAGAAGTGGGAAAGTTTGATTCTTTGGATTATGATAGAGAAATAAGGAGGGAAACTTTTGAGTTTTCAACTTTTTGTAGAAGGAAAGAAAGAGAAATTATCGGAGTTGCTAAAGGTCGCCCTTAAAATTGCTAAAGATCGCCCTAAAAAGAATAAAAGTTACACTTTTAACCCCCATAGCTTCTTTACCTTCCATTCCTCAAACAAACATCACTTGGACTAAAAAAACACTATCTAAGGAGAGAAAAAGCTCTCATCGTCATTTTGAAGCCGATATCGTCAGTAGGACGTCTGAATCATGAGTAGCGACTCCGACGAGGTAAGAACATGAACTGGAAAAAAAAAACAGAAATTGGGAACCGTGGGTGATTTGCGGTCCGACCATGGTCCAACCGCAGGTCACTTGCGGTTGGGCATTTTTCGGGTTTTTTTTTCGTTAAATAATTTTCTATTTTTATATGATTTATAATTTGTTCCATGAAATAATTTGTTGGGTTTTGATTTATATAATTTTTTAGATTTATTTGCATAATTATTTTTGGAATTGAAGGATTTCGCATTAGAAATTAAGATTAGATTTGTCCTTAAATTAAGATTAGATTTAATTTGGTGTTAATCTAGAAAATTAAGATTAGATTTTGCATTACAAATTAAGATTAAATTTATTGCATAAATAATAGATTCGCATATGAAGTTATGATGATTATTAAATTTGATTTATATAATTTTTTAGATTTATTTGCATAATTATTTTTGGAATTGAAGGATTTAGCATTAGAAATTAAGATTAGATTTGGCCTTAAATTAAGATTAGATTTAATTTGGTGTTAATCTAGAAAATTAAGATTAGATTTTGCATTACAAATTAAGATTAAATTTATTGCATAAATAATAGATTCGCATATGAAGTTATGATGATTATTAAATTTAATACTGATAACATTGCAGGATATTGGAAGTTACAATCCGGATGGCCATGATTACACATCGGTTCATTGATGGCGTGAAATACACTACGGAGTTGCAAGCATATGAAGCAGCCATTGAGATTGCAAAGGGTTTTGGGTTTTATTTGGTGAGGGCATCGAACAAAAAAAATAAGAATGAAGGTACTTGGCGACATTACTTACATTGCACTCATGGTAGGAAGAAGAAGTCGAAGGAACCTGATCCGAGTAAGGAAACGAGGCCTCTTACATCTACTGAAAAGTTGGGGTGCGAGTTTCAGATCAAGCTTGAGCGGTCAGGTGATGGATATTGGTTGATCCTAGGGGTGGCAAATACAAAGAATCCTGGTGCTAATTTGGGTTTCCACAATCATCAGTTGGAGCTATTTCCGGAGGGATCAAAGGGAAGGAATGTTTTGACTACAGAGGACAAGCAATACATCAGAGAGCTGAGATCAGCCGGTGTCCCACCAAGGAATATCCACAAGGCAGTGAATGACAGAAAAGGTGCAAATGGAACACACAACAGAAAGCAGATTGATAACGAGTGGCACAAGATAAGGAAAGAAGAGCTTGGTCAGATGACAGCCTTATAGTATACTTTCCGCATGGCGCAGGAGAAGGGTTACTATGTGCAGTATATGGACGATCGTAACGTGCTTACACACGTGTTCCTAGCCCACCCCGAGTCAATATTGATGTTGCGAGCTTGGCACCATGTGATCGTGATAGATGCAACGTACCAGTGGCTTCTGACGCATTTGCAACATCTTCTTGGCCCCATTGTTCCAGATGTGTTTGTCAGTGACAAGGCAGGAGGATTGGTTGAGACCGTGGGGGTAATGTTTCCATCATCGACTCATATATTATGTCTTTGGCATATGGATAGGAATGTGAGAGCAAAGTGTCTAACGGAGGTGCGAAGGACGACTCATTGTGGTATAGATGCAGCCAAACCGACAGTGGATCATATCATGGCGTCTTGGCAACGTGCTGTATACAGTGGCGGAGGCAGGATTTGAAACTAACCTTGTCCTCTTTTTAAAATATAAAAATATAATTAATAATTAATATAAATAAAGAATTAATCGACTAATACAATTGATGTTTGCATAAACAACTATGACGAATTTTCATTAGCAAACTGATCACAAAATCGACTTCGAAACTTAATATTAGTATAGTTCAAGCTAAAAATGTTATTTCTACACTTACAGTTGCAACAGGTAGAATCAAAATTAGTTTCAGAAGCAAATAAACTGACGGCTATGACTTACGTACTTTTGTCTCCATCATTATTTGAGATAATTCATCAATTTCTTTCAATTAATGAAATCTCATAACATCATGATAATACCCAACAAGCTATTATCAAATAATTATTATGAATGGAAGAAATAAATTAACTATTTTTATCAATTATTAAACAAGTAATGAACTGCGATGTAGTAATAAAATATCCTTAATTATATTACTTGTAGATGTTGCGTACATATATATAGGGTATTTTTTACCAGCCAAATATTACCCCTGTCCTGGGACAAGGGCAATATAGGCTGGCTCCGCCTATGGCTGTATATGCATTGACAGTGGAAGACATGGATACTGCCTTAGAGAATTTCAGACGTAGTTGGGGAGTACAGTACCGACGTCTTTGGGGGGTATATGACAGCTGAGTGGTTACCAGTTAGACACATGTGGGCTAAATGTTATACCAATCAACTGCGGCATTTGGGTAACACAAGCTCTAATAGGGTTGAAGCTGCCCATTCCTCCTTCAAGAAGTGGCTTCAATCATCTACTGGCGCAGTCGACACGGTTAGTAATCTAATAAATCTTCATTGATACACACATAAGTTTTAGTAGTCTCCTAATTGTTTTTCATTGTTTGTAGGTATACAAGAAGAACGATGATTACATTGAGGCTCAACACCTTCAAATCAGGAAGCTGCTAGAGGATTCCCGACAAAAGAAGCTGCTCCGAGCGGATGGAAAACCATATCGAGAGTTGAATACGAAAGTCACTCTAGAAGCTCTGAGGTTGATGTTGTTCGAGGTAGCAGTGGAAGGGGAACCTTGTACATGTACGTTTCCTCCTACCTATGGTCTCATATGTAGATGTTCCATTTCAGTTAGCACGACGTGAAAATCGGGATTTTGCCTTGTATGATGTGTTGCCATTCTGGACCGTTATCAACTATCGTGAACCTCCTACTCGGCCGGAGTGGGATGACCATAGTGATTACCACCGTGGTGTGTTCCAAGGTCTAGTACAGGAGGTTCTTGATAGAGGCGACGAGACCATTCGAGGTGCAATCGGCCTACTCCGGAGCCATCTTCATCCTGAAAATGATGGCATTGATGAACCGCATGGGGGACAGCCCCGCCCCGGTCGCCCAAGGACGTCCACCACTCGAAACCTGTCTCACTTCGAGCATGTGGAGAGGAGACGAGGGAGGAGAAGTTCAAGACTTCCGACTGCAACTCCGGACAATGATGGAAATACAGGTAGATTAACTTTTTCTTTTAGTTGTGTTCAATTGTCCTCAATATGGTGTACAACTAATCTATTTTTTTAAATGAGATAGGTGGTGCCCCGAATGTGAATGCACAAACCAACTTCGAGGATGAGACGGAGCCGATCCATAATGATACAGGTTAGAAATTATATTCCTAATTTCGGGTAAACATATAGTGTAACTCTTTGTATTAATTTATTCTATTATGTTCTTCATCTAGATGGTGCACCGAATGGGAATGCACAAACCAACTTCGAGAATGGGACGGAGTCGGTGATCCATAATGATACAGGTTAGAAATTATATTCCTAATTTCGGGTAAACATATTGTATAACTCATTGTATTAATTTATTGTGTTATGCTCTTTGGCTAGATGGTGCCCCGTGGAGGGTTGCTCGGATTCCCAATACTAGTTTGAAGAATTACCCATGGCTACATTGTTTGGAATCCTACGTGCAATGACTAGTTCGTGGTTGGTTCAACCCTATTCCAGATGGACACTGTGGATTTCGAGCTATATCACAAGCAGCTACTGGGGACCAAAGGAATTGGCCACAAATGAGACGCGCTGTTCTAGAGGAGCTTGAATCCCGTCCTGAGCTTTATAGAGACTACTATGATGGAATATCAAATGGAATAGAAAATGGCATTCGACGTTGCAGGTGGGCATCAACAAGTGGCTGTGGACCTTTCAACTGGATGGATAATGTGGAACTCTTCGTCTTCGCCACCTTGCATTCATGGGCCAT